CCAGTAGCTCACAAAGTAGAAGTTTTGCTCACAAGACTCCACAGCTTAGAGGGAACATTGCTCCAGACACATAATTTTTTCCCCCTTGAACCCAGAAAACTAGCTTCTCACCGAGAATGACTTTAGTCTAGTTTTCTCCCTGCAGTGCCTGTTTTCTACAGTAGGCCTCTTGGGGTGCTTTAGCATTCAGTGCCATATAGGCCCACACCTGACTGCCTTTGTGTCAACCACGCCAGTTACTGAACCTTTGGAAATTATTTACAACCTGCACCTGCTGAGACACGCTCTCTAGCCTGCAAGGCTCTGGGCTGTACTGAACGCCGCAGCAATCCAGCGGGAAACACCCTTTGAATTCTCAGCCAGCAGGTCTGGGCACGGCCTGGGCTGCACCTGATAACACATCCCACCCAGGTTAGGAAAACAGAAAGTGCAGCAAAGCCAGAGAAGGAGCTGCTGTGGAACAAGCTGCGACAACAATGGGGGAAAGGAGCAGGCAGCCTATTTTATGGCCCCATGTCTAGATGGCTTTAAAAGGGGATCAGACACATTCTGGGGGGGGGTGTCCGCCAGCAGCTACTAGTACATAAGCCCTGCTGGGTCAGACCAGTGAGGGTCCATCCAGTCCAGCCTCCTGTCTCACACAGAGGCCAACCAGTTCCTCTGAAGGGCCAACAACAGGGCAGCAATGTTCCCTCTAAGCTCTGGAGTCTTGTGAGCAAATATCCTACTTTGTGAGCTACTGGCATTAAAGTTGTGAGCAAGCAATTTGGCTACTGCATGAATTAGTTTGCTCTGGAGCCATCCTTCCTGCGCTAAGACAAAAATGTGTGAGCTGGAGGCTGAAAAACTGTGAGTTAGCTCACACTAACTCAGCTTAGAGGGAACACTGCAGGGCAGAGAGGCCGAGCCCTTCCTAAGAACATCCGAAGAGCCCTGCTGGAAGAGACCGGGGGTCCATCTCGTCCAGCCTCTTATCTCACACAGTGAGGCCTTCCCCTGACGTTGCCTCCTGGCTCTGGGATTCAGGGGCTTAGTGCTTCTGAGTGTGGAGGTTCCCCTCAGCCACCAGGGCTAGGAGGCATTGATTGAACTCTCCTCCTCCCTGAGTCGCTCTAATCCCCTTTTAAGGCTGTCTCTTCCTGAGGCCATCCCTCCATCCTCTGGCCGCGAATCCCCCATTTCAACGACTCGCTGTGTCAAGCAGTATTTCCTCTTTGTCCGTCCTGAATCTCCTGCCCACCACCTTCACCTGATGACCGAGTTCTACTATTTTGGGAGAGGGAGGAAAAGTTCTGTTTGTTAACTCTCTGCCACCCCGTGCGTGGCTTCATCACAGTCATGTCCCTTCTGCACTGAAAGTCCCAGGCTCTTCAGCCTTTCCTCCTGGGTAAAGGAGGCCTGCCAACCTCCAGGTGGGGCCTGGAGATCTCCTAGAGTTAGAACTGATCTCCAGACTACAGAGATCATTTCCCCTACGTCGTCTACGGCCCTGTGCCCCTGCAGAGGTCCCACCCCCTCCCCAGGCTTCTAGGGCTTTCCCAAGCCAAGGTTGGCAAGCCTAGCTACTAGACTAAAAGGAATCATTGTCTGCCTAGGCAGTGTTCGGAGGAAACCCGGGGGGGGGGGGGGGAGGCCTTGGCCTCTGTGTTCTGTCCGCTGTTCCTCTAAAGGCTGCCTGCCATAGTCCAAGATGTAGATGACCACTGGCCTGATCCAGCAGCCGCTTCTTCTCTTAGGTCAGAAATGGCAAAAGAAGAAGAAGAAGAGTTGGTTTTTATGCCCCACCCTTCACTACCCGAAGCTGCGGTGGCTCAAGTGGTTGAGACGCTGAACTGCAGGCTGTGGAAGGTCGCTAGTTCAGCAGTTCAAGACCCAAGTTGCCGCATGACGGAGTGAGCTCCCATCTCTAGTTCCAGCTCCTTCCAGCCTAGCAGTTTGAAAGCAAGAAATTGCAAGTAGATAAATAGGTACCACTTCAGTGGGAAGGTAACAGCGTTCCGTGCACCTTGGTGTTTAGTCATGCCGGCCACATGACCACGGAAACGTCTTCGGACAGCGCTGGCTCTTCGGCTTGGAAACGGAGATGAGCACCGCAACCCTAGAGTCGGACTCAACTGGCTTTCGAGCAAGGGAACCTTTACCTTTACCTTCACTACCCAAAGGAGTCTCGGAGCGGCTTACAATCGCCTCCCCTTCCTCTCCCCACAACAGACACCCTGTGAGCAGGCCTCTAGCTACAGTGGGGGCAACTTGGGGCCAGGCCTTCCCCCAACTTACTGGCAAGGCCCCGTGATTTCCCAGCCAGCCCAGGGCCCCCGAGTAGAGATGGAGCCAGTGCCCCCTAAGAAATTAAATGCCCCCCAACTAAAAAAATCCTGGCCACGGGCCTGCCTGTGAGGTAGGTGGGACTGAGAGAGCTCTGGGAGAACTGTGCCTGGCCCAAGGTCACCCAGCTAGCTTGATGTAGAGGAATGGGGAATCAAATCCGTTTCTCCAGATTAGAGTCCATGCTCCTAACTACTACACCAAACTGGCTCTCTGGATCTATGGGGTCCCTGTCCGTGCCTACTCCACATGCTCAAACAAAACCAACTCAAAACTGCAACCGGGCCAGGAATCTCAAACAACACTCTCATGCCATAACAGGAAGGTCTTCCTTTGCTACATCTGCTCCCTTACCTGGAAATGACCCTCACTGAACACCATGGGAGTTACTTCCAAGTGAATCGGAGACTGGGTTGGGGCCAGTGTTCCCTCTAAGCTGAGTTAGTGAGAGCTAGCTCACAGTTTTTAGCCTCTGGCTCACACATTTTTGTCTTAGCTCAGGAAGGAGGGCTCCAGAGCAAACTAATTGATGCAGTAGCCAAGTCACTCGCTCACAACTTTGATGCCAGTGGCTCACAAAATATAATTTTTGCTCACAAGACTCCACAGCTTAGAGGGAACATTGGTTGGGGAGGGGAACAAAGAATCTAAGCCGAGTTACTTGCCCAGTGAGAAGGGGGGGGGGGTCAGGTTGACAGCCTGAATGGGGAGGTTTCCCGTTCTGATGCCACTCTGATATTTAACTCATCGGCAGCCGAAGCGAAACTGCTCTTCTCAGTATTATTTAGTCCCGCTTAGCTACTTGCTGCATAAGGATCATTTGATCATATCTATTCATAAGGGTTACTGAGAACGCCTATGAAGTGTTAATGTGCTGGAGGGTTATTCCAATGCAATGTGGTATTTTCATTGAGCTTCTGAGCAGGGGCAGCGCTTAAAGGCACAGGCAACAGGCCAGGGGGGGTGAAAAGCCGACTGGCCAGCTAACAATGTAAACCCCTGAAGGGAGAGGGGGGTACGTCACCAGGAAGGGGTCAGTTGGGGTGATCAGCAAAGGAAAGGGGGAAAGGAAAGAGCAACTTACTGGCTACTTTTTTTGGATCAGACCAGGAAAAATCAGAATGTCAGAGACTACCTTCCAGCCTCCGGTTAAGAAGGCGGACATGAAAGGAACAAAGGTGCATATTTTAAAATCTGTTCATCCCCCAACTTCACACAAAGTTCTCTAATGCCAAACCCCACCCAGCTGTTAATTTTTAAAGTTGTTAAGGGACTGCCTTCCCACCTGTTCCCTGCAGGCGGAGGGGGCCCTTCTTGACTAGGAAGCCAAAATCCCCCCCCCCAATGCCACGCAGTTGTCTCCAAGTAGGGGAAATTAAGATGCCGGCTTCCCTAAGCCCAGGACAGAGCAAGGCGGCAAGTGTTTTACTCCTGAGAAAATCGCACCCAGCTCTTTAGGACTTCACGAGGCCTCACTAGAACGTCTGTTGTAGCAGAGATGTTACTTGTAGGAGGCCCCGTCACACTGAGGTCACAGGGCAAACCTAGGCATGTCTAAAAAGGTTCCCTTGCTCGAAAGCCAGTCGAATCCGACTCTAGGGTTGCGGTGCTCATCTCTGTTTCAAAGCTGAAGAGCCAGCGCTGTCCGAAGACGTTTCCGTGGTCATGTGGCCGGCATGACTAAGCCCCAAGGCGCACGGAACGCTGTTACCTTCCCACCGAAGTGGTCCCTATTTATCTACTTGCAATTTCTTGCTTTCGAACTGCTAGGTTGGCAGGTGCTGGGGCCAGAGACGGGAGCTCACTCCGTCATGCGGCACCTGGGTCTCGAACTGCTGAACTTCCGACCTTCCACAGGCTGCAGTTCAGCGTCTTAACCACTTGAGCCACCGCAGCTACTCACAAGTAAACTAGGCCTGATGGAGCTTCCTGGCAATTGGGACCCTTCTGAATGGAAGCGGCTGGGGCCGAACCAGGCACGCGCCGACTGCCCAAGACAGACTCCGAACTGAACGCACCTTCATAGGGGGGGGGGACCTGAAAATGTGAGACTGTCTCCCCCCCAAAAAAAAAACCACAGTGAGAGCAGAGTTGCCACCTCCCACTTGAGAAATTCCTGGCTATTTGGGAATGAAGCGTGTCGAGAAAGGAATTTGGGGAGGGGATTTCAACTAAAGCCGAGGGTATGGTGTAGAGTCGACCCTCCAAAGCAGCCATTTTTCTCCAGGGGCACCGATCTCCGTCGTAGGGCGAACAAGTGTAATTCCGGGAGATCTCCACCAGTGTTCCCTCTAAGCTGAGTTAGTGTGAGCTAGCTCACCGTTTCTTAGCCTCCGGCTCACCCATTTTTGTCTCAGCTCAGGAAGGAGGGCTCCAGAGCAAAGTAATTTATGCAGTAGCCAAACTGCTCGCTCGCCACTTTAATGCCAGTGGCTCACAAAGTAGAATTTTTGCTCACAAGGCTCCGCAGCTTAGAGGGAACATTGATCTCCACCCTCCCTCCCCACACACACACACCGGGAGCTTGGCAACCCTACGTGAGGGGGGAGGCGGCTGGGCGTCCTCCCCTGTAGAAATCCACCCGCCATTGGCGAAACCCCCCAGCCATTGGCTGCCTTCCCCAGCGCCCGCTCCTCTCCAAAGGGACCCCTCTCCAAACGCGCCCAGGCACCGACCTGCCTCTCCATGCCAGGGCGCGCTTCAGCTTCAGCGCCGGCGGGTGCAGCGAGGGGCCCCGGTCGCCGTGGCCTGGAGCCGCAGAGCAAGGCAGGTGCCGCCGCCGAGGCGCAGAGCAGAAACTGGAGACGCCGCCCGGGGAGCGCGCCCGCGAAGCGACTCCACCCGGCGCGGGGAGGGTCCGAAGGGCACCTGGGCCGGGCGCGCCCTCGCTCAGCCGGGACAAAACCGTGGGAAGCCGCCAGGGCCTTCGTCAGGCGGCTGCTTCTCCTTCTGCTGCTGCGCCCCCTCTCGCTGTTCCGGGGAAGCCGAGCCTCGGGGGTCCCGCAGCGGTGCAAAGTTACCAAAAGTTCACTTTTGCAGCTGAATGGCGGCGAAGCGTCTGCCGTTTACTTTACGCAGCCAATGAACTGAGTGGGACTGCAGGGCAAGGGGCGAGCTGCAGGCTTGGAAGGAAAGCCGGTGGCACGCCAAGTAAATATGCACAGGCTCGTCGCCGGGCTAAACCTCCTGAGTGCCTTTACGTGGGCGGACTCTCTCCGCAGTCCTAAACTCCCCCTGCAGGAGATGAGACCAGTGTTCCTTCTAAACTGAGTTAGTGTGAGCTAGCTCACAGTTTTTTAGCCTCCAGCTCACACATTTTTGTCTTAGCTCAGGAAGGAGGGCTTCAGAGCAAACTAGTTTATGCAGCAGCCAAATCACCTGCTCACAACTTTAATGGCAGTAGCTCACAAGGTAGAATTTTTGCTCACAGGACTCCAGAGCTTAGAGGGGACATTGGATGAGACTCTTTTAAGCTGTTCAGGAAGACAATTTAACTGACTTGCCTCCCCCGATCTCCTCTTTCTAGGGCAAGCAGCACGTTGGGTCCACACCAAGCATTATTTCTGGAAAGGAGATGTGTTGGGTTTTTACATTTTCTTTGTTGGATCTCAGGTTGCAGTGTGGTGGTGTGTCCCTAACAGCGAGCAGAGCTTGGGACGGGAAGCAATTCTCAGAGACCCACCCAAGAGCCTTTCAGAGTCCCATCACGCAACACAGGACAGCCGCAGAAAAGTGTTGCAAGTCACAAACATTATAAGTCAGTTTGGTGCCGTGGTTAAGTGCGCGGACTCTAATATGGGAGAACCGGATTTGATTCCCCATTCCTCCACTTGCACCTGCTGGATGACCTTGGGCAAGACATAGTTCTGTCAGAGCTGTTCTTGAAAAAAGAGCCGTTTCTGTCAGAGCTCTCTCAGCCCCACCTACCTCACAGGGTGTCTGTTGTGGGGAGGGGAAGGGAAAGGAGTTTGTAAGCCGCTCTAAGACTCCTTTGGGTAGTGAAGGGCGGGGTATAAATCCAATCTCTTCTTCTATAATTTTTCTACAGGTTTATAGGGAATCCCGCAAGTGTATCAGGGCTCCCCAGTTTGATTGTAAAAGCGGGATCGTAGCGCAGGGCCCCCTCTGCTGTCTCAGCACGCCCTCTGCTGTGCAATGCTGTTCATTGCAGCCAGGAACAAACAGCGGTGTCTGTTATGGGTTGATTTAAGCGAAAGAGGATCTCGGCTTTCTTTTGCAACTTGGGCTCTTTTGCATTTCCAGAAAAAGTTGGAGCTGACTCAGTGCTTCTGAGTGCAAGGGCAACTCCTTACTCCCAAGGGAGTAGAGAATAACCTGTAATGTCTGGGGCAGGGATGCTCTGTAATCTTGGTGCTTGGGGGGAAACAGTGGGAGGGCTTCTGGAATTCTGGTCCTGCTAGTGGACCTCCTGATGACACCTAGGTTTGGGCCACCATGTGAGACAGTGTCGGACTTCTCTTAGGTTCTTATGTGTACCTGAGCACGTGCAGAGTGTCCTTTCTTTGAGTCAGGAATGCTTCCTTACCTTTTCAGAAAATGACTGGGAGTGCTGTGGAATCTGATGGCCACCATGTACCTGCGAGGCCTTTCTGTCTTATCCAGCAGCAGCCTTGCAGTATGGTGCAGCAGTTAAAAGGGGGCAGACTAGGATCTGGGAGAAGTGAGTTTGAATATCCACTTGTGCCATGGAAGCTTGCTGGGTGACCTTGGGCCAGTCATGCTCTCTCAGCCTAACCTACCTCACAGGGGTGTTGTGAGGGTAAAACGGAGGGGAGGAGAATGATGTAATTTGCCTGGGGTCCCCATTGGGAATAAAGGCGGGGTGCAAATGGAGTAAGTAAACAAATAAAAATGCTTGAGGTGCCGGAGAAGTGGTTGTTCAACAAGAGGCGTGATTCACACAAATAGCTGGTGAGTTGGTCAAACCTATGTTTGGGCGCTGTAGCCCTTCAAGTTCACAAGGGATCTCCTATTATTGAATGCTTATTCATAAAAAGGATGACATCCTTGCACACAGAAAGCTAGCCTTTCAAGGAAAGTGTTCTCGCCTGGTCTCTTCTCTGTTGGGCTAGTTTTCTACATGGTGGAGGGGGGGGCAGTTGTATGGCAGAACATTCTCTCACATGAGAAATGTGTACAGTTTACAGGAGGAAAGTGGATGCTAGGAAATAGAAAATGGCACAAAAACCAAGAGCTATGGGGAAATACAAAATCCACATAGGGATCTGAGGTTGAAATAGAAGGGATGGTGGGATTCAAAGTCCCCTCTAATGACTGCAGCTCTGCTGGAAAGTGGGCGAGCAATCGTCATTCCCCATTTTAGCTTTTCCAGCTTCTTTGCGGTTTAAGTTACAAAATCCCGCTGAGCCAAATCTAACCCTTACTGGGGAACCTGTGGTGCTCGTAAAGCTAGAGGTGCAGAGAGAGTTCCCCCATAGAGAGTCTGGCTTTTAAAATCAAAGCACAGACAAAGATGCCTTTAGACTTTCTACAGTACTGAGTGTGGAGTAACATTAAGACACTCTCCCTGCCGTTCCCTTTTATTATTCGTTGGCAAGTGCAGTGCGTGTGTGGTCATTAGACTTTATTTGGTGGCTTGAGAATATGTTTTCTGCCTGGACATGGATCAATTTTGTATGGGTGTTCCCATCTTTCCAACAATGGGTCTTCTCTGTCAAGTCCTTTGCCCTTCTGCGAAAGGCTCGACCTCTTGTACGCAATGCCTGCCTTCATCTGGCCCTCGCCAAGGTGGTTCCTCTCCAGAAATTCCAACGCCCACCCCCTGGACACATGGACTTCCGTATGATGCTGCAGACAGCTGCTCAGTCTTTCAAGACAGAGACGTTGTATCTTCTCCAAGCGTGGGAGCAAAAGCACTGGCTGTTGAATCAGAGTTACGGTACATCTGTTCCCAGATGTAGCCCTTGGTTCCCTGGCATGGTATAAGGGCTCTGGTGTGTGGCCCTTTTATCCTTTCAGCCAAGGATAAAAGCAAGCCAGAGGACTAGGAGAGCCCCCCAATTTGACACTGAACAGTGTATCCTGAAAGTGCATTCACAACTTCACACCAATGTGCTCCAAAAGCAATTTACTCACATCAGTAGTAGCTGTGGCAGTTAAGTACTTTACTTTTGTTTGCTATAGCAATGCTTCTCAGATTTGTCTGATCTCAATTTCTCCCCAGATTTTGGAGAGCACTTGGTTTTTGAGGACTCCTCCCTCATTCCCTTTGTTTCCTTTTGTGTGTTTCAGACACTGCTAGTCATGGCTTAATTTGCAGCTTTACATGTCATTACCAAAGGGCATTAATAAAAACACTGCAAAAAAGCAAAGTTGATTAAATTGTTTGTATGGTGGTATCAAATATGCTTTTGGGATAGTTAGGATTCCACAGTACTTGGGCCCAACTACCCTTCTAGCTGGCAGCGACAACACCCCAAATATTTCCCCAAAAGGCCTCCGATTACAGAGGGGAGGGTTTTTTCCAGGCTCCCAGACCCTCCTCCTCCTTCCACAGGGCAAACTACTAAGATGCACCCTTGCCTCTGGATATATCCACCCTGGCCTGTTGCTTCAAGTTATCCTTAAATAAACCAGTATATCCCCCATAGTTGTGAAATCTCAATGGGCACTCCTGGGAGACAGAAATCCCAGGCTTTCTCTCGTGATGGAAGAGAGACGGATGGGAGCAGCCCATGAGAAGAAGAAGAGGAGATTGGATCTATACCCCGCCTTTCACTACCTGAAGGCTTACAATCTCCTTCCCTTCCCCTCCCCACAACAGACACCCTGTGAGGTAGGTGGGGCTGAGAGAGCTCTTTCGAGAATGGCTCGTGAGAGAACAGCTCTGAGAGAACATGTGACTGACCCAGGGTCACACCAGCAGCGCCATGTGGACGAGTTGGGAATCAAACCTGGTTCTGCCAGATTAGAGTCGATGCTCCTAACCACCACACCAAACTTTCTGGTACCACCCCATGGACAACGTTGCAGTAATAAACTTTATACAATGATACTACGAGAGACAGAAAGAACTGGAAGGAGGATATTGATAGGCCTGAGATCTTTCTGGGAAAGACCACTCTGTGTCTGAAACTATGGAAGGTCTCCATCAGTCGAAGCAGAGTTGTGGACAAGAGGGGAATTTTGTCAGATGCTGCTTCTAAAATGTGATTTTTTTGTAGAGGTCGTCAACTTCTGACCTAGAGAGACTAATGGTCTCACCTGGCATAGCTGACTGGCAGAGCACATGTCTTGCCTGCTGAAGGCCCCTGGTTCAAGCCCTGGCTTTTCCAGTTAAAAGATCCCCAGGAGAAGTTGCTGGGCGAGACCTTTCTCTGCCCGAGTCCCCGGAGAGCTGCTGCCAGTCAGGGTACACAGTACTGAGCTGGATGGCCAAGTGGTCTGGCTTGGTATAGGCAGGGGTCGTTTCGTAGAAAAAGAGCTAGGGGAACTCATTAGCATAACTCATTAGCATATGCCACACCCCCTGACATCACCGGAAGTGTGTCATAAGGCCACACACCCCGCCCCCAACGGTCGAGCCCGCTGGCCTTGCAACTCCACTGCCGAGCCCCATGAAGGGCCCGGCGGTGGACCTGCAAGGCCGGCGGGAGTGCGAGGAAGCCCCGCGAAGGCCCTCCTTGGCCCCAGGCAGGCAGGGGTGGGGAGAGGCAGGGAGGAAGCAACTTACCCTCCCTCTTCTCCTGCCTCCTCCTGGCTGAATGAGGGCCGGAAGCGGGGCAGCCGGAAGC